TACATGGTTTTAAAAAAATTTAAGTATTAGGTTGTTTCGTTCTCCCTCTTAGCTTGTTCAGTGAGTTTTGTGCATGATGTTCCATAAAGTAACCTCAGATTGCTTCCAAATGTAAAAGTTCTTCTGTTTCCTCATTTAGCCGGATGCGTAGTGATGGTTTTGATGAAGAAAGTCAAAGAGACAATTGGAGGCCAAGGAATGAAATTTCTGGGGCACTAGAAGATGATTTTCTTAAGGCTAAATCCTGGAACAAGAAGTTATATGATTATGAAGCTAACATGCCAGACAGGTTTGTGATTAAATTCTTGTGGCCATTAGTGATATTTCCCCCAAGAATGTGTACTTTAAAAATTTAATTATCTCTACAAAAACTTGTACATAAATGTTCACAGCAAAATTATTCAGTGTGGCCAAAAAAGTGGAAACCCAAATGTCTATTAGCTGATGAATGGGTAGACAAAATGTGGTATACGAAATGGTAATGGAATGTGATCTGGCAGTAAGAGGAATAAAGTACTGATAACAACCTTGAAAACATTATGGTAGGTGAAAAAAGCCAGACAAAAGGCCACTTATTATATGGTTCTATTTATATATATATGTCCAGAATAGGTAAATCCATAGAGACAGAAAGATTAGTGATTGCCATGAGCCACAGGAGGAGGAATGGAGAGTGACTGGTAACGGAGCTACTTTGTGGGGTGATGAAAGTGTTCTGATATTAGATAGTGGTGATGGTTGCACAACTCTGAATATACTAAAAGCCACTGACTTACACACTTTAAAAGGGTGACTTTTATGGTATATGAATTGTATTTCATTAGTTATTTTTTAAAAATTGTATCAATGTAGACAGTATTATGTTGTGAAGAGTTTTTGGAGAAGTACTTCACAGCTAAAGAGAGCAGATTATAAGAGTTTTCTTAAGAGAATGGCAAGTTCTCTTACAAATGGACAAAGGAATTCTTTGTCTGAAATAATAGTTTGCAGTACAGAAAAATGTAGCCAACTAAGTTACTGAGCTATAATGGGTTGACTTTATCTGTTTTCTTTGTTCTGTATGTCTTTGTGCATGCACCCCTAAGTCTGTCTAATTTAATTTTCAAAAACATGCATTGCTTTAACAATATGTATAATAAAATATCATCTTACAGATGGGGTCACAGTGGTTATAAAGAGTTATACCCTGAAGAATTTGAAACAGACAGGTAAGACAAATAGGCTTGCTGGAAAAAAAAGTTAGGAACTAAGCTTAGTACAAAGTCTGAACTGTAAATTGAGTTCAAGCCCAGTTTTTACAAAGCATGTAACATTTGCCATTAAAAATGTAACCGAGAAGTAATAGGCAGTTTAGATGGAAGGTGTTAGGTATTCTGCCTTTCCCTGATTGTGTTTTTTTTTTTAATATATCTTTATTGATTTCAGAGAGAGGAAGGGAGGAGAGAGAGATAGAAACATCAATGATGAGAGTCATTGATTGGCTGCCTCCTGCACACCCCCAACTGGGGATCGAGCCTGCAACTCGGGCGTGTGCCCTGACCGGGAATTGAACCGCGATCTACTGGATTCTAGGCTGATGCTCAGCTGCTGAGCCACGCCCGGCCAGGCCCCTGATTGATGTTTGACATATCTATAGCACTTAGGTATTTTTTTGTTTATTGTTTTTTAAGTATGTTTTTATTGATTTTAGAGAGAGGGAGAGGGAGAAAGAAACATCAGTCATCTGCCTCCTGCGCTACCTCTACCAGGTTCAAGTGTACAACCCTGGGCATGAGCCCTGACCAGGAATCACACCGGCCACCTCTCAGTACATGAGATGGTGCTCAACCAACTGAGCCACACTGGCCAGGCCTATAGCACTTAGGTTTTTATATCTAGTATCCCATACAGTAAACAGGATATTTTTCATATTAAAAATTCTTTATAAATTAAAAACAATTTTAAACAAAACAACTTTCTGCCTATCAGACTGGCAAAAATTTTTTTTTTTTAAATGTTATTGATTTCAGAGAGGAAGGGAAAGGGAGAGATAGAAACATCAATGATGAGAGAATCATTGATCGGCTGCCTCCTGCATGCCCCCTACTGGGGATCGAGCCTGCAACCCAGGCATGTGCCTTGACTTGGAATGAACCTTGACCTCCTGGTTCATGGGTTGACACTCAACCGCTGAGCCACATTGGCCGGACAAAAATTGTTTTGATAATACCTACTTTTGCTAACACTGGTGGTAAGTAGATCTCAATATTACCAATATACTCTTTTTTCCCCCCCAAGTCCAATGACATCTAATGGCTTTAGGGTTATTTTACAGATTAGAACATGTTCATTTTAAAGATGAAACAAAAACTCAGGGTGATTCTCATAGTAACCCTATGTCAAAGCTGTTTTAAAATTCAGATGTGAATCCAACTTTCTATCTAGAATGCAAAATATTAAAATATATTTTTATATTTATAGTAAAGTAGTTTCTCTTTTTTATTAGTGATCATCAGGATATTACCAATGGGAAAAAAAGATCTCCCCAGGTAAAATCATCTACCCACGAGTCTCACAAACATAAGAAATCAAAGAAATCTCACAAAAAAAAGCAGAAAAAGAAGTCACACAAAAAACAGAAGAAAAGCAAAAAGGAAGCCACAGACATAACAGCAGATTCCTCAGATGAGTTCTCAGAAGAAACGGGGGCTTCAAGTACCAAGAAACAACCAAATAAGCGTAAGAAAAAATCAAGGAAAAAGTCTCTAAAAAAGTCTGCTCTAGTTTTAGAGGCAGAAAGTGACACTTCTCAGTCAGAGGATTCAGCATCCAGCAGTTCTGAGGAAAGTGAGGGAAGAGACATTAAGAAAACCAAAAGGGAAAAAAAGAAAGATAAAGTCAGCATCCCTGCGGTTAGCAGTGAAATACAGGAGAGGACAAACAAACGCACAAACTGGAAAGTAGCTACTGACGAAAGGTCTGCTGAGAGTTCAGAGGATGACTAATGAGAAATATTACTCACTTGCCATGTGACTTGGATATTTACAGCTCTTGCACCGTGGGGCTTTGCCAATGACTCATGTTCAGCACAGGGGGCTTGAGGTTGGAGCTGTCCTGTGCCATCTATGTATGTTCAGACAGACTTGTCTTCTATTTTGGCCTGTTAAACTTGATCCTCTTATTCTTAATAGGGAATCTGGTATTTTGTTATGAAGGTTTCTTGAAATTATTTTTTGCAGTTAATTACATTTAGCATAGAGTGCATATATAGCAAATTAAAGGACACAGAAAGCAGAATCCAGTAATGACCTGGGTACACCAATTAGAATGTTGAGTTTGGGTAAAGCAAGGCCTGGGATCAAGTAGATTGGAATCAGTGCTGTGCAGAATGTATAAGGGAACATCATATTGCTCTTGTTTGGTTTATATAGCAGGTGCCACTTTGTCTCAGTCTTGGTGCTTTGATCTTTCTGTATTTTGGCCCCACAGGTGTGGTCATTTATTTAATGGGGAAATGAGCGTAAGAACAAATATTTTCTCTCTATAACACCCACAGATAGCTGTTATCAGAAGAGACTAGGGTTTTCTGTCAAATTTCCCTGCTGGACAGGGACTGTAGCTATACTTAGTATACCCATAAACATGGTAATTGGATAGTAATTGGTTTTCTAGTTCCATTGCTGTATATTGCCTAAATGGACCTGTGTTCAAATATTTCTTTTAGATAAGTCCTCAACAAATGGGGAAGAATTAGGAATTAGTCATGCTAATGGGGCTCTGAACAGGCTTCAGGGCAGCATCTGCCATTTAAATGTCTTCCTTGTTTACTTCTCAATTTATTAATGAACTAGATTTTCCCTGAAACTAGGCTGAATCAAATCCAAAATGAAATAGACTTCTCAGGGACATATCTACTTTCCAGCCTGCCTTTGGATTAAAGCACCAAGCAGAGACCATATTATTTCCTTTTGCTATATGCTGTAATCCCTACTGTGTTAGTTCATAAGAAACCAAAATAACTGAAAGAAGGCTAGCAGAACACAAGTGAATTTTTTCATTATGGCAGGTCAAGTGACATACCAGTTTTTCATGGGCTGAGTAAAAAGCTTGAAAACTCAAACTTATCTTGGTTCTGCCACTAACTGATTATGTGGTCTGGAGTAGGTAAGTTAACTTCCCTGGCCTTCCTTTGAACCCCATGTGTAATACACAAATACTTCATGGTGACATGACAGTGTAAGACACCAGCAATAGAATATAACTCTGACATCATTCCATGAGGTGGTAATATTTTATAGTTCTGCTAAATTTGTTCTCTTTACAGAACAGATTTTAATGTTTAGTCACGAAGTACATGGTTGGCCAGAGGTTCCCTATCCTGATTATAAGCAGGTGCTACCTTTGGGGATATTTATTTGAAATGTTAATACTTGGGTACTCAATTGTCAATGCTCAACGGTATATGTTTTTACCTTTGGGATTAGTAGGGGCCCAAGGGGGGGAAGAACAGTCTATAATTACTACCTCTTAACCTAAAGCAATTGTTTTGTTGTTGGAGCAAGTGAAATCTTTGTTGGAGGGAGTGTTCACTTTTTTTTTTAAACATTGTTTCTGTGCTATAAAAGTACTGATTCTAAGCACAGACTCAGGAGGATGGGTGAGTGGAACAAGGCATTTCTGGGAAGTTGGTTCTGTTTGTCTTGACTTTCCCTTCCTCCCTTAGTAGTGGACTTATCTCTTTCCCAATGAATACATATCTTGCCTGTTTTGATTTTTGCCATGTTTACCTTTTCTTGGTCATGTATAAGCAATAAAGCTGTTTTCTGTTCTTCACCTTTCTCAACCCTAAATTTTCTTCTGTGCCTTAGGTTAAGGCTTTGATGGCTCTTCCAGCCCCCTTATATATGGCTTAGGGTGGCTCTTCAAAACATAAGATCTCCCATTTGCACTACCAGCCTTGGAACATACTTATTTCTAGTTGTTTCTGCCAATCAGAGGTCTTATTAAATCCTACAGTGGGATTTAAAAAAAGAGTTGGAGAATTCACATTTATTGAATAACTGTTTTGATACAATGTGGAATTTCTGAATTCCAGATAAATAAATTTCACTTTTGAACATTTGATTTGTTACTTTTTAGCACCAACAGGCTTGGAAATAGCCTGAAGTTGACTTGACAGTGGGTTGATAACTTTCCCCTACTATCTGTGTAATAACAAGTCCTTTGCTTCTTCTGTCATTCTCCCAGGGAATGGCCTACTGCCCTCCTTTCTGTACAATCTGCGCAAACCGACTGGTGATGGCGAGAGTAGTATCAATGAAGCGGTCCACACAGCTAGAGAGACAGTTTTCAGTGCGAGAGTCTAGGCGATTCCCTGGCTTCTCCACACATTTATCCCAACATAGCTCCATGAAGTGGTGCACCTAAGAGGAAAGAAAAATAAAACCATTAGGGTCTGTTTATAGGCCTAACTGCCAATTTTCTTACTTCCCTCCTATTTTCATTTTCTGTCACCTAACTAAAATAAAACATTCAGTCAACAAACCATGGGCTCTCCTCTTTCCTCACTTCCTAATCTGGTCCAGATCCTCATCCCTACATTGCAACAATCCTTTTACTCTCCCCTTTAGTGATTAAAAAGTACTTCTATCAAGTCACTTCTGTGTTTGCTCAATGCATCAATTTCTGTTAGCCACTCAGGGCACTCCCTTATTTAACCCCCACTCATACTGTATCAATGAGGCCCACACAGCACACTCGGCTCGACTGTTGCTAATCCTCACCTGAGGATATTTTTTCCATTAGAGAGAATGGAAAGGGGGGAGAGGGGAGAGAGAGAGAGAGAAAGAAACATCAGAGAGAAACATGGAAGTGAGAGAGACACATTGATTGGTTCCCGCACAGCCTGACCAGGCAGGGGATCAAACCTGCAGCCCAGGTACCTGCCCTTGACCAGGGGGACGCTCTAACCACTGAGCAACCTGCCAGGGCTCACCTTGACTCTTAATACTCCTGGAATGCCCTCCCTCAAGATTTTACCCATTCTTCAAAAACAGTTCGAATTCTTACCTTCTTACCTTCTTGATGGCCACTGTCTATTATTTTCTAATTGAGTCAAATCCTCAATCAGAATGTAAAAACTTTGTTTTGTTTTGTTTTTTATATATTTCCAAACTAGCACCAGTGTAAGCTGGGATGGTACAGTACCAATCAATCCCTCCAAAATACTGTACCCATATCATTCTAAACCTATCCCTTCAAGAATAGTTCTTAAGTTCTTAACTTTTTGGGGTCATGAACACATTTGAGAATCCAATGAAGCTTATGGATCCACTCTCTAGAAAAATGCACACACAGGCACAGAAAATGTATGCACTTTCCTAATGTCCCAGGACTCAAAGATTTCTAACCAGGGTTCTGCGGGGTGGGTGAGAGGGGAGAGAGAAAATAACCATTTACCAAGGGTTCACTATTTGGGAGGCTGGGAACTCAGTCAATCCTTTCTGCCGTCTTAAAAGATGAATTGTCTCCTTCCTTTAAGAGGTGAGGTTAGGCAATTAGCTCTAAGTAACGCGGCTAATAAGGGACCACGCCGGGGTTCCAACCACGCCGAAAAGGCTCCAAAGCTCTTGTTGTAAACTAAGAATAGTCTGTCTAGACTAATTACTTCAGAGCCCCCCCTTTTCCAATAATGTCCTACCGCTCTATCGCTTTCAAATTACATTATCGCATTTGATCCTCACAATCCAGTAAGGCAACGGGCGACTGCGAAACCAAGACGCAGAGTGGCTGTGTGTCTCGTCCAGGGGCACGTGGCCTGCAAGTGGCAGAGGCACAGTTAGAACCTCGATGTCCCGAACGTCAGCCCAGGGCGCTCGCCACCGAACTCGGCTCCCGTGCCCTTGCGCCGCCCAAACGTTTCTTTTCTGCTTTACACCTTCTGTTTTCCCCACCCTGGGCTTGCTTAACGGGCATCTGAGCACCACCGGTCACCAGCGGCAGGAGCGTCACGTTTCGTTTCTTTTGCGAGAGGAACCGGGCGTAGCAGGGATGGGGCGACCTCACCGCGGGTGCCCAGGATTCGTCCTTCACCGTTCTTTCTCCTCCCCCTGGTCCCCGTCCCCGCACCTGGGCAGTGAACTGCGCCTTCTGCTGTTCGGCCGCCACCAAGCGCTGCAGCTCCGCCTCGTCGGCCTCTCCCAGCTCCGCCATTGCGCGCGTCGGGCTGGACTTCCGAGCAGCGCGCGCGCGTCTGAGCGGCGGGTGCGCGCAGGCTCCCAGCTCCCCATCCGACTTCCGGTTCCCTGCGTTTCCCTTGTCCTTGTTTTCTTTCGTCATCGCGGTGGGCGGTGCCCTATGACTGTTTCCGGGTTACTGGATGACCTTGAACCTTCAGGAGCGAGATGGCGGGCATCTGGAGGCTGAGTGTCCTCTGCGGTGCCCAAGGAGGCAGAGGTGAGGGTCCCGGCGGCCGGAGCTTTTACGCGGCTTCCAGCGGGGGAAGGGGAGGCGGGGAGGATGCCTCTGCCGGGTGGCGAGGCCTCTGGAGCCCGGAATTCCTCCTCCTTCCCTGTGGCCACTCTGGCTCCTGCTGAAACCGCAGCAATGACCACCGTTGCCTACGGGCCCAGATATTCACCCGAGCGCGTCCTTCCTGTTCTGGGCCAACGTGGTGAGGGGGTTAATCTGAAGGACAAGTGCTCCTGGGAGGTAGAGCCCTGCTGAGGCTATTCATAGGAGCTCGCTCTCTCTTTTTTCTCTCCCCTCCCCATTCACTGTCCTTACAGTGCTCCCATCCCGAGTCGGAAAAGAGGCTCTAAAGCCCAGTGCCTGGTCTTGCTCATGTTCCCTGGAGTTGGTGTAGGGGACCAGTTTGATAATCATTGAACTGGGCATTCGTGTTATATATACCAGGCACTGTAGTAAGCTTTGGATGCAAATGTGAATAAGACATAATTCTGCCCTCAAAGACTTTTCCTTTTTTATAGGGAAAACACATATAAGCGTAATGTTAACATCAAACAAAAACTGTTGTGCTGTACATATTGTTATGCTAGTCCAGAGGGGTAATATATTTAGCTCTGTGGTTGGGAAGGATTACTTTGTCTCTGTTCCTGAAGGAGGTGTGCCTGATTGGAGGATATGGAAGGCCACAGGAATAGGGACATTACAGTTCGGGCTACTGGGATGAGCAAAAGCAATGGTGAAGGTGTAGAAGCTGGTTGTTACCAGAGAAAACAAAACAAATTGGATATTATTAGAGTGTGAAGCTCAAGGTAAGGAATGAGAGATGAATCTGGAAAGGTGAACTGGAATTGCGTCATACAAGAACTTGTCTTGATGAGGAGTATGCATTTTATCTGGTGTGAAAGGGAGCCATTGAAAGATTTAACATAGATTTGTAGTTTAGATGACCACTTTGGTAACAGTGTGGTAGATGGCCACCACGGGAGGTGGTCAGGCTAAGACACAAGCCAAGGAGATGAAATGGGGCATGTTGTAGTCCAGGCAAGGATGGCGAGGTAATGAACTTGAAGAGTAGTACAAAAATGAAAGTTGTTTCAAGGAATGTTGAGGCACTTCAATACAATTTGTCAGTTGACTGAATTTAGGTAGAAAGTCCTACATGACTTCCAGATTTCTGGGTTAGGAGTAGCTGGGATGTCATTAAAGTGGGAGACATGCAAATGGGAAATGATTTTGGATGAGAAAGTGAATTGAAGGATGATTGTAGTTTTTGGCATGNTTGAAGAGTAGCTGGGATGTCATTAAAGTGGGAGACATGCAAATGGGAAATGATTTTGGATGAGAAAGTGAATTGAAGGATGATTGTAGTTTTTGGCATGGTGAATGTGAGGACCATGTAGGACATCTCAAGGAAGAGGCCCAGCAGGCACTTAAACTTCTGAAACTGGAGAGATATCAGGGCTGGAGATACAGAATTTGGGTGTCATCAGCTTATAGGCAGTTGGAGCTCAGTAGACAGAAAGATTGGAGGTGGGCAGAGGAAGGGACAAGAGCAATGGGCAGATGATAGAATCCTGGGAAAACATTTAAAAGTGAATGCAGAAGGAGACAGATGTAGGTGGTCAGAGAGTCAAAGAGAACTAGAAGAGAGTTCTGTCAGAAAAGGAGGAAAGACCACAATGCCCGGAGATGGCCAGAGGTCTAGTATGATGAAGACTGAACAGTACCTGTTGGATATGGCCACTTGAGACCATTGGCAGCTTACAGCTTTGATGGGGATAAAAATAAGTTTTTGAGTTAAAGAATGATAAGGAAATGAGGAAGTCAGAATGATTGATTGATCTTAATTTTACTTTATTGATTTTAGAGAGAGGGAGAGAAACATTGCTGTGAGAGAGAAACATCAATCAGTTGCCTCCTGCATACACCCTGACTGGGGATCAAACCCGCAACCTGGGTATGTGCCGTCTGGGAATTGAACCTGCCACCTTTTGGTGTACAGAACGACACTCCAACTAACTGAGCCACACCAGCCAGGGTAAAGTCTAGATGATTCAGATAACACTTTAAAGAAGCATGGTTGGAAAGAGAGCAGGGGAAGAGCACATGGGCATTAGAGGAATTAGTATCAAGGGAAGTATATTAATTACATCAGTGGAGGGAAAATGGCCAATTGGAAGGAGAGGTTAAAGATATAGAAGAGAAATTACCTTTTATTGAGTGCTTGTAACTTCCTGGGAATTATACTGAGCACCTTGCATATATTATTTAATTTTTAACAGTATTATGAAGTAAGCGCTGTTATTTCCATTTTACAAATGAGGGCATTGAGGTTAGAGGACCTGTTTAACTTAATTGCTGATCATCTCACAGCTTGTAAGTGGTGGAGTTGGGTTAGCTTAGGCCTGTCTATTTTTAAATAAGAGACAGGATCCCAAAGGGGACAGAGATGGTTTCAAGAGTACAACTGGAGAAATTGATCTTGCAAAGGAGGACGGTAATAGATGAACTTCCCAAACTAGACTGAATTCCTTGTGGACAAAGACTGTATCTTTTATCCCTTACACTAGGGCAGAGTGGATGAATAAATGGAAGAAGAAAGCTAGAATTTACTTTTTAAAATTAGTAAACGTGAAGCCCTTTTACATAAGTGGTTTGTTGATTTTTCAGTCTTTCAGTGGCTGCTTAGTCTGACCTCACAGCAACCTGGTGAAATAGATGCTGTCCTCTTACAGATGAGATGTTATCCCTCATTTAGGTTGAAGTAGCTTGCCTGTGGTCATTTCGAACTGTTGTCAATCCTGTTATGAGAGAGGTGCTTATGATCCCCGCCAATGTCTCTTTCCTCAGCTCTCTTCCTTCGAACCCCAGTGGTCAGACCTGCTCAAATCTCGGCATTTCTCCAGGACCAACCTAGCCCAGGATGGTGTGGAATACAGCACATTCACCTGTCACCCAGCCGCCATTGTATGTTTTCTCCATTGCTGCTGCTTTCTGGGCTCTGGCCGTCTTCCGCTGAGCTAATTATCATGTCTTTGGGAGGACTTATCTGTGGGGGGAACTTTTGTGTCCAGGTTTGTCAGATGAAGACCTAGCCTACACCTTTGGGCAGACAACGCCAGCATGGTTGAATGATGCCATTTACACTCAGAGAACCTTCTGGTATAAGTCTTTTTAAAAATTTTAATTAAAAAAAAAAGAAAATAGCTCTGTAGGAAAAGTCTGTTCAGTAGTTTAGTTACTTTTATTTATTTAGCTTATGGAGAGGAGCCAGATATGAATAATTTAAAATAGTGGACAATTTTTAAAAAGTCATGCGTATTTATAGTTGTATTGTTTAGGTATTATTAAAATTAGTCTTAGAAAGTCCATAGGTGAATAATGAATTAGCTCTGTTTCCATTTTTGAAATCTGGAAAGATCAGATAAAGACTTCTCTTGATTCTTACATCATCCACTTAGATATAGTTACATCTGAGTTATGAGAAATTAGACAAGTGTAATCTGCTTTTTAGACTAATTTTATCTTTTAAAAGTCTTGTTTCTGCATTTCATTGCTTAGTTTAGTTAGAATTAGCAGAGTAGTTTTAACTTGGGGTGCCTGAGACTGACGGAAAGCCCCTGAAGTTGCATACATAGTTTTTTTTCTTTTTTGTAAAAAAATATGTCTTTATTGATTTCAGAGAGAGGGAGAGAGAGATAAAAACATCAATAATGAGGGAGTCATTGATCGGATGCCTCCTGCACACCCCCAGTGGAGATCAAGCCTGCAACGTGGGCATGTGCCCTGAGTTGGAATCGAACTGTGACTTCCTGGTTCACAGGTTCATGCTCAGTCACTGAGCCATGCTAGCCAGGCTTTCATGCATATTTTTAATGTGCATATCTGTGTGTATATTTCTGAAAAGTTGCTCCATCCTTTTATTAGATTCTCAAAGGAGTCTGTAACCTAAAAAAGATAGAGGCTCTCAGAGAAATGATTGTAGCCCATTTTGTTTTTTACTTGCTTAAAATAAATTTTCATGTTCTATTTCTGTTTATAAGCAATGGAACAGAGCAAGGACCATGGTCCTAAAAGTTGACACCAGAACTTCGCTTTTCTGAGTTGGCTGCTTTAATTTTGTGAGGAGGATTTTTAATATTACCTTACTTCTGAAGATTAGAAGGTGTAAAAAAAGTAATGTTTTAAAGAAATTTCTCAAGTATCACTAACTTATATTCATAAGGTATGTGCCCATTACCTTGAAGTCCAAGATTGGTAATTCTGCAAAGCTTTGGTCCGTAATCTTGCCTGTTAGTAAAGTGGCTCTGTCTTGCAATCAACATCTGTAGGTGTTGAGATACCCTGTACTCAAAAATGGAGATAGCATCTTTCAGTTACCTTCCTCACACTCTGTGCTCAGAGTTAAGTCTGCTATGCGTACTGTTTGCTTGCGTACTGTTTGCTATTCTGTCAGTTTGAATTATTTTGTGGCAGATACTGAATGCAAGAGATAGGTTAACCCCTTCAACTCTTATGAATCTGGCCCTTCCTTTCTGTAGCTGGTTCCAAGGCTGCGTCTCTCCACTGGACTGGTGAGAGGGCGGTCAGTGTTGTGCTCCTGGGCCTCCTTCCAGCTGCGTATTTGCATCCTTCCTCTGTGATGGACTACTCCCTGGCTGCAGTTGTCACTCTCCACAGTCACTGGCAAGTACAGCAGTGCCTTCAGTATTATATTGTTTGCTTAGTTTGTTTGCTGTGAGCTTGTTTCATTATTGTGTATAAGGGAGAAGTTGATTGAGATACTCAAGACCTATAGAAAACTTTAAAGCATAATGTAAAATATTTCTCTGCCCAGATTTATATATCCACCTGCCCATTCGATGTCTTCACTCCCATATCTAATAGGCATTTTGAATGTAGCATGTTCTGAAACTGAGTTTCTGATATCCCCCAGATCGCTTCCTCTGGCACTTTACCCATCTGAATTAATACCACTTCTATTTTATTTGTTCAAGCCCCAAACTTGGTCATTGTCCTCGATTCCAGTAGTAGTCTTTAGCTGGTCCTCCTTATGTCTGTGCCCAACACAGCTGCCCCAGTGATCCTGTTAAAATATTAAGTCAAGTCAAGGCATTCCCCTTCTCAAAACCCTTTGTTGTCTCCTAGTCATACTCAAACTAAAGTAGGGTTCTTACAGTGGTCTAGATTCTATGTGATCTGGCCCCTCTTTCTTCCTTCATCTCCAACTACTATCCCTCATTCACACTGGCTTCCTTGATAATTCTCGAACTTGCAGGGACACTCTAGGCTTCAAGACTTTAGTTTTACTCTTCATTCTGCTTGAAACTCTTTTTTTAGTTATATACTTGGATTGTCCCCTCATTTCCTTCACATCTTAATTGTCACCTTCTTATTGAAGCCTTTACACTTACTCAAAAGCAGTGTCCTTCCTAACATTTCTTATCCCTCTCTCCTGTTTTATTTTTCTCAGTAGCACTATTTACATTCTAATATAATATATCATCTATTATTTTATACATTCCTAGTCTCCCCCTACTAGAATAAAAGCACAGATACAGAAAATCACAAGAGTCAGATCCTTGGCGTAATGAATGATGATAATGGTGGTACCACCCAGGTCAAGAAATAAAGCTTTGCCACCTGCTCCAGAAGCCTCTTCCTTGTGTTCTGTCACCTCATCGCTGTTCGTTGTCCCTCATCGGGACCCATTATCCTGATTTTGATAGTAATCACTTCCTTACGTTTCATCATAATTTTATCACCCAAATTGCACCCTCTACACTATATTTTAGTCTTGCCCTTTAAAAAAAAAAGAAATATGTATTTTTGACTATTTTTGTTTGCTATTATATTTTTAGTGCCTAAGCAGTACTTCACACATAGCACTAAGTAAATATTTGTTGAATGAATGAATTTCTAGTGTCTCTGTATTTCATCCAGTGTAGTTTATTAGACTTTCTTAATTAGTAAACCTTCTATAAAGTTTGTACATAATAGCTGGGTTCCTGGAGTTTGCTTTATGTTGTTTTGTGAGGACAGTATGATATCATGGGTAGGCGAGGCATTTTGGATGGATTGTTAGAACTGAAAGGACTTGAGGGAGTATCTTAACCAACTCTATTATTTTACAGATATGGAAACTAAACCCCAGGGAAGTTAAGTGACTTATCAGAATCATTTTCTAGCTAGTGTTAAGGGGCGTTTGCCTGCCTAGTTTTCTAGGGTTGGTTAGGAGAATTACCATTTAACAACCTTTAAAATAAAGGATTCTAGTTGCATATGAAATATTAGATTACAGGTACAGTAATATTTCTCTAACGTGTTTCTTGGAAGGAGATACATCTAAATTAATGAAAAATGAGAATAAAAGATAATTCTAAAGTAATACTTTTTTAAAAATTACAATTGACTTTCTAGTTACCTCACTAATTTTCTCTTACTTCCCATGCAGAAAGAAGTGACTGGAAAGAGTTGTCTGTCATTGTGCACTAGTTCCTCAGTATCCAATCTCTTAACCCACATTAATTGGGCTTTTATCCCAACTATTTAACTGAAGTCATTCTTACCAAAGTCACCAAAAACTTTCATTTTTCCAAATCCGATAGTTTATTCTCTGTCCACTTACTGACTCTCAGCAGCATTCAGCTTAATGGAGCAGTCCCTCCTGGAGTCGTTTCCTTTGGCTTCTTGACTGCCGCGCCTGTGTTCCCCCCCCCCC